TAAAAATTTTAATTTTTTTTAAATAATAATTTTTCAAATTATATCAATTATCTTTCACAATACTTAATAAACTATTATTAATATTATTTTTTCAATACTACTAGATTAGTAGACCTTATGATTGGAAGTCAAATATACTTATATACTATATAAATAATTAATTAATTAACCTCCTCATAAATAAATTGAAATATAAAGGAATAATTAAACAATATCAATAAAATGTCAGTATCATACAGCAGCTTCAAATCCAAAATGATGAATTTTTGAAAAGTGATTATTTAAATGTCGAATTAAACATACTAATAAAAAGGTAGTTCCAATTAATACATGAATTCCATGAAAGCCTGTTGCCATAAAAAAAGTAGAACCATAAACTGAGTCTGCAATTATAAAAGGGGCTTCAATATATTCATATGCTTGTAAAATAGTAAAATAAATACCTAATAGTACTGTAAAAAATAATCCTTGTGTACCTTGTGAATGATTTCCTTCTATTAAGCTATGATGAGCTCATTTAACAGTTACTCCTGAAGCTAAAAGAATTGCTGTATTTAGTAAAGGAACTTGGAATGGATTAAAGGGTTTAATTCCTATAGGCCGTCATGATGCTCCTAGTTCAATAGCAGGTGATAAACTTCTATGCAAAAAAGCTCAAAAAAAAGATATAAAAAATAATACTTCAAATAAAATAAATAAAATTATCCCTCATCGAAGGCCTAAAGTAACAGAAATAGTATGTAATCCTTGAAATGTACCTTCACGTGATACATCTCGTCATCATTGATAAACAGTTAGGATAGTAATAATATTTCCTAATACAAATAATGAAATATCATATTGATGGAATCATGTTACTAAACCTGAAACTGAGTTATAGCACCAATGGCTCCTGTTAAAGGTCATGGGCTATAATCTACTAAGTGAAAGGAGTGATTAGCGTGTGTTGACATTAATTAACTTCTCTAGAGTATAATGTTCTTAATACAGCAAATACATAAGATTGAACAATTGCTACTGCTGATTCAAGAATTAATAAAGCAATTTGACCAATTAATAGTAAAGAAACAATTATATACGAAAGTGAAGGGCCCGTATTCCCTAATAATGTTAGTAGTAAATGTCCTGCAATTATATTAGCTGCTAATCGAACTGCTAAAGTTCCTGGACGAATTACATTACTAATTGTTTCAATGCAAACTATAAAAGAAATTAAAATTGCTGGAGTTCCTTGTGGCACTAAATTATTCAAATATATGTGAACTGGTCTACGGAAAGGCGGCTTAGGTGTCAAAAAATCAATTTTCACTTTTTGGTTGATTCGGATGGAAGATGAGATGCTTTTTCACGTGGTGAAAAGCAGAAAATCCTGACTTGCTTAGAAGTGTACTATAAATGTAGAGAAAGAAGAGTAAAAACGAGTAAACGAAACGAGTTTTTGCACGTAAGCTCCCTTTTCGTAGACCAGGTAACATATGTTGAGTTCATCCATAAATTATAAAACATATATTATATTATTAATCCACTAATTAATAAATGATGAGATAACTTAATTAATTAAACTTAATAAGTTAATGAGCTTGATAATAAGCATATGTTTTGAAAACATAAGATAGAAACTCTATTTTCTATTAACTTTACTAAATTAAATTAACCACATTAAATAAATTAATAATAATTTTAAACCAATAAAAAACAATAAATAATTCAATGAAAAAGGTAAAAAACATTTTCAAGCTAAATATATTAATTTATCATAACGAAATCGAGGTAAAGTTCCACGAACTCAAATAAATACAAATGAAATAAAAGTTAATTTAATATAAAATGAAATATTAAATAAATCACAACCAAAAAAAATTACACAAAATAATATTCTCATAAATAAAATTCTAGCATATTCAGCTATAAAAATTAAAGCAAATCCACCACTTCTATATTCAACATTAAACCCAGAAACCAATTCAGATTCACCTTCAGCAAAATTAAAAGTAGTACGATTAGTTTCAGCTAAACAAATGCAAAATCAAACTAAACTAATAGGAAATAAAATAATAACAAATCAAACATAATATTGAAAATGATAAAATTCAAGTATATTATAACTAAATAAAATAACTAATAAAATAATAACAAATCAAACATAATATTGAAAATGATAAAAATCAAGTATATTATAACTCCCAATTAAAAAAACAAAAGATAATAAAATTAAAACTATTCTAACTTCATAAGAAATAGTTTGAGGAACAGCACGTAATCCCCCTAATAAAGCATAATTAGAATTCGAAGACCAACCAGCAATTATAACTGTGTAAACACCTAAACTTCTTCTTCTTCTTCTTATTTGGCGCTGTAACCGCCTAAGCGATTTTGGCCGAGTCCAAAACAGCACGGCAATCATTTCTCTTCTGTGCTAACTGACGCCAATTGAAAATGCCAAGTGAAGCCATGTCCTTCTCCACCTGATCTTTACAACGCAGAAGAGGCCTTCCTCTTCCTCTGTTACCAGCATCGCGGCCCGCGTTGAATATTTTCAGAGCAGGAGCGTTTCTGTCCATCCGAACGACATGGCCAAGCCAGCGGAGCCGCTTAATTTTAATTCGCTACACTATGTCTATATCGTTGTAAAGCTCATACAGCTCATCGTTAAATCGTCTGCGATATTCGCCATCACCAACGCGTAAAGGTCCGTAAATCTTTCGCAGAATCTTTCTCTCGAAAACTCCAAGAGCCGCCTCATCAGATGCTTTCATTGTCCACGCTTCCGCGCCATACACCAGCACAGGCATTATGAGTGACTTATAGAGTGTGATCTTTGTTCGGCGAGAGAGGACTTTACTTCTCAATTGCCTACTCAGCCCAAAGTAGCGCTTGTTGGCAAGAGTGATTCTCCGTTGGATTTCAAGGCTGACATTATTATTGGTGTTAATGCTGGTTCCCAAATAAACGAAGTCGTCTACTTTTTCAAACTTGTAACTATCAACAGTCACGTGGGTGCCAAGACGCGTATGCTCTGACTGTTTGTGTGCTGACAGGAGATACTTCGTTTTGTCCTCGTTCACCACCAGACCAATTCGCTTTGCTTCTCTATCCAATCCCGAGAAGGCAGAACAGACGTAGCCCTTGTTTTTACCGATAATATCGATGTCGTCGGCATACGCCAGCAATTGTACGCTCTTATAAAGTATTGTGCCTGAGCGGTTCAGTTCTGCGGCTCTTATTATCTTCTCCAACATAAGATTAAAGAAATCACACGAAAGGGAGTCCCCTTGTCTGAAACCTCGTTTGGTATCAAACGGCTCGGAGAGGTCCTTCCCTATTCTGACGGAGCTGGTGGTATTGCTCAACGTCATTTTACACAGCCGTATTAGTTTCGCGGGGATACCAAATTCAGACATCGCGACATAAAGGCAACTTCTCTTCGTGCTGTCGAAAGCGGCTTTGAAATCGACAAATAGATGGTGTGTGTCGATCCTATTCTCGAGGGTCTTTTCCAAGATTTGGCGTATTGTGAATACCTGATCTATGGTGGATTTTCCAGGCCTAAAGCCACACTGATAAGATCCAATCAGCTCGTTGACGGTGGGCTTCAGTCTTTCGCACAATACGCTCGATAAGACCTTGTAACCTATGCTTAGAAGGCTAATTCCGCGGTAGTTGGCGCGTATGGCGGGGTCGCCTTTCTTGTGGATTGGGCAGAGCACACTTAAATTCCAGTCGTCGGGCATGCGTTCATCTGACCATATGTGACCTGGTCTACGAAAAGGGAGCTTACGTGCGAAAACTAGTTTTCTGTGAAAAAGCTGTTAAAAGTAAGCAACTCGTTTCGTCAGTTTCTCATTATCTCGTTAATTGTTCTCCGCGCCGGACGTCCAGTAAGTGTTGTTGTTGGTCCAGTAAGTGTTGTTGTTGGTCGGAATATTATTATAGTTCATCGTGTAAGTTGCTAGTGTGGAACATTTAAAAATTTAAAATTCAAAAAAAAATTTTTAGTACACTTCTAAGCAAGTTAGGATTTTCTGCTTTTCACCGCGTGAAAAAGCATCTCAAGCAGTCAAAAGTTTTCCACTTCTGCGCACGGAAACACCTAAACTAG